TTGTAAATAACTGTATATATAAATATATAGTAATGTATTTGATATGTAATGTATTATTTCATAATTTTATTACCTTTAGTAATATAACTTGTTAAGATGGTATTAAAAGGAATCGATCTTAGAAATGTCTCGAAACTTTATGAATCGATTTATAAGATGTCTCGAAACTACGATACTGTTCTTGAATTTGTGTTATATTTTTAAAGAGGAATTTTATGGCAAGTATATAAAGAGACTATTAAAGGAAAGAACGCTGTATATTAAACCTATAGTACCGTAAAAATCGTGGAGTTATTTCTATTGATTAGGGAAAAAGGTAGAAGAATTTCTAAAAAAAAAACGAAGTGAATTGAAGTATCTTATTAGCTTCAGGAAAAGAAATCAAACGAGATTCTATTAGTAGTGTGAATGAAAATAGATATAGGCTTAAAGTAAAATGGATTCATCTGTTTGAATATAGGGGAACCTTCCTCTAAGCCTAAATATAATATACAAGAAGTAGAGAAAAGTACTGTGAAGGAAAAAGAAAATTAGTAGTCTTATAAGCAGCTCAAGGTAAGTTTAATAAACATATGAGAGCGTACCTTTTGTATAATGGGTCAGCAAGTTCTAGTTAGATGCAAGCAAATACGGAGAGATTATACGAGGTATAGGAAAATTATTGTAAGAGTACTAAAAGAACCTAGGTGTGAAGGAAATGAGATAATAAGAATAGAACGTCATAATCCATTTGCCTAGATAATCCAATTATTAAGTAATGAATTAGTATCTAATTAGAGACCCGAAGAGTAGTGATCTTACCATGGTCAGGCTTATAAAAGGCCGAATGGGTTATCGTTGTAAAGATATCCAAAGAACTGTGGTAAGTTAGTGAAAGACAATCCTGACTACTATAGCTGGTTTTCCGCGAAACATATGTAAGTATGTAGTTTAAAGCACATCATAGCAGGTACAGAACTGTAATCTCGGACAACTTGTGCAGTATTATTCTTTAGGTATTTATACCTATAAGGGTTGTAAGGCCTTGTGCATATGGGGGGGTCGTGAAGACTCTATTCGCGAGTATTTGCTCTCGGAAGGGCAATGATGAATGTTGAACTATCAGACATTTAACGATAAGGTTGTGTGTCAAAAGGGAAACAGCCCAGAACAAGTGTTTAAGGTTCCAAAGTTTTTGTTAAGTGAAAGTAAGGAAGTATTTAAACTATACAACCAGGAAATAGGCTTAGAAGCGGCCATTTTTTAAAGACCTCGTAACAGAGCACTGGTTCAAAGGGTTAGTTATAACCTAATTAGTTAAAAGCGCCGAAGATATAGCGGATCTAAAACAAAACACCGACACCTTGTCCATAATAATATTAGGGTAAATCCTAGTTTAATATACTTAAAGGTTATTTAAGTATTATTTATGGGGTAGCGGAACATTGGGTAAATAGGATTGATATAGATAATACCTCTCACAAAGCAGTTTATTAATTTATAAAGTAAGCGAGTAGTATAGTGAGGGAGGAATGGTATTTTAATAATTACATTGGTAATTGTTAGCGCTTTTAAGCGTTTTTCCATAAATATCCCAAGTGAGAATGCTGACACGAGTAACGAAAAAGAGAAAAGGAAAGAGTAGGAATAAACTAAAAAGATGACCGAATCCGGCCCTTACAGGGCCCTCTCGCCTTAAGCTTATGGGAAAGTGAATCGGTCTCTAAATTTAACCTAAAGGATAAAATGATGAGGAGAATTGGATGGGACAACATGAAATTGAGTAAAATGTTCTGGAAAAGCATCTGATAAACACATAAATAAGGAAGGAGAAATTTTGGTATAAACGAATTAGAATATACTAAAACTTTCTTTTTATAGGGAATAAACTAAATAGATGAAACTAGTTTCCTTGAAAAAAAAAAACACCGTACCTAAAAACTACCACAAGTAAGCTAGTAGAGAATACGAAGGCGTTTGAGATAACAACCATTAAGGAACTCGGCAAATTGACACCGTAACTGAGGGAGAAGGTGTGCCATTCCTGCTGATTAATATCAGTTTAGGAAGAGGAGACATAAAATGGTGTTGCACGACTGTTTAATTAAAACACAGCACTCTGCGTAAGATGTAAATCAAAGTATAGAGTGCGCTATCTGCCCAATGATGGCTGGTTAACGGATTTACTTAGACGACTAAAATAGGCTAGGTTTTGAAGGAACCCCCATTTAATGGCGGCCTTACCTATAAGGGTCCTAAGGTAGCGAAATACCTTGGCATTTAAATGATGTCGCGCATGAATGATCTCACGATGCAACAGCTGTCTCAATGGTTGGCTCAGTGAAACTGGAATGGCAGTGAAGATACTGCCTATCTCTAGATAGACGAGAAGACCCCATGCAGCTTTACTGTTACTAGTTATAGGGTATAATTAACAGGTTTTAGGGAATAAGGTAGTTGAAAGACAAAATTGAAACACCTTTACTCTGGTTGTTATATCAGTAGAATAGGTTACATTGTAACCGATGTCTGAATGTAATCCATAAAAAGAGGAAGATAAAACTCAGGAGACAATAGCTAGCAGATGGTTTATGCGGGGCACAGATCCCATAAAGAGTACCTGGGAGTATCCAAATTTATTTTTGTAATAGGCTATACGCAAATTATATAAGGCTTTAAAATAATTGCCTTATATTTTTGAATTTTTTAATTATTATATTTAGTTTGTTATTTTTTATATTTACCATTTTTTTTATGGTATCTATAACTAATTCAGTTATATTTCTATTTAAGTTAGAACTAAAACAATTTAATATAAGTAAGATTTTACCTATGTGGAAAATAGGTGTATATATAGTACCAATAAACAGCAGCGCTTGCGATGTTAGTTATAACACTATTAGTTATTTTTTTTAGAAAAATGATGTTGATATATACTTCCAAAGTTTAATGGCTTAATCTTGCTTTACTGTTTGACATACACGTCTATCAGTTGCGTAAGCAGGGCATAAAGACCGCAAGACGCAGTAAGGAAAGGTCTTGTATTATTGAAAAAGCTACGCTGGGGATAACAGGCTAATTGCGCCAGAGAGTACAAATTGAGTGCGCAGTTTGGCACCTCGATGTCGGCTTAGCTCATCCACATGAATGCAGGAATCATGAAGGGTACGACTGTTCGTCGATTAAAGAGCTACACGAGCTGGGTTAAATACGTCGTGAGACAGTATGGTTTCTATCTTCTAGAGAAATTTGAGTAAAATAAGGATAGCCCCTTCGTACGAAAGGAGTTGGGTATGGTAACCTATGGTTTACCTGTTGTTTATGCGCTTAATATTAATCTTAGGAATTGAGGTGAGAATAGGTTTTCTTTTGTAAAGAGATGGGAATCTACTGAAAAAAGAGAGTAATAAAGATGAAGTTAGTTAAATTCATTTCCTATTTGAACACATAGACTATAAATGGTAATACTTTTATACTCAAGTATCTATTGATAGCATAGGCATGGCAGGAAAGCTATGTTAGTTAAGATAAGTGCTGAATGCATCTAGGCACGAAGCTTACCTTAGGATACTCTTAGTTACGTAGTATAACATTACGAATTCAGAATATCCATACGATTACAAAGAGTTCATTCTCATTGACAATATGGATAGGAAATTATAGGCTTTGGCTGAAAGGGCTTTGATGTTCTCAGGTATAAAGTACTAATACTAAAAAGAGGATGACATTGTTCTATCTTAACGTTAAACTAAATAACATACTTATCATTAAAAATACTTTGGTTAGCCCGGTTTGCATAAAAGTAATGCACCCGTTTTGTAATCGGAAGATATGAGTGCAAGTCTCGTACTGGGCTATATTTAGTTAGATAAATAGTAAATGTGGATTGATGTAATTAGTAACATACCTGGCTCATGCCCAGTATATGGGGGTGCAAGTCCTCCGTCCGCATAAAGGCTATAGCTTAATAGGTAAAGCAAGCTGCTCATAACAGCTCAGATGAGTGTTCGAATCATTCTGGCCTTATAGGGAGGGTACGGTGACTTACTATTATAGTGAGGTGCGTATATGACGTACCAGTCACCTGTGGGAGAGACTAATAGAGGTCTTCCAGGATACCAGGTGGATCCCTTCGTACTAAGACTCTCTCTCGGAAGAACCACGATAGTAACTAGGACGCGTCCCTTACGAAAACCGATTCGTCGTAGAAACCAGATGTCTCTTTGCTTATTTTTTTTTTCTTTCTCTTGTATTATTTTTTTTTCTTTCTCTTGTATTATTTTTTTTCTTTCTCTTCTATTATTTTTTTTTTCTTTCTCTTGTATTATTTTTTTTACCTGTACTATTTCTTTGTTATAGTAAGCAAGTATCCTGAGGAGGCTAGGACGTAGTATGAAATGCTACTTCGTATTTATGCGGAAAGGTCACAAGTCCTTGCAAAAGCAGAGTGTATACTATGATGATAACTAAGCATTCAATGTGTATTAGTTACATAAGTCCCCTATCTGGTATTATTCTAGCAGAATTAAAAAGATAAGGATAGTTGTGTTATATTTTAGCGGGTGTAAGTATAAAGGATATTTACTGATATATTTTAATACTTAAGGGCTAGACACTAAACATTCATAACTAACACAGAGACCTTTTAGTTAAATTTTCTAACCGTTTATATATAGCTATTTTAACTTTCTATACATGTTTTAAGGCCCAATAGTCAAGTGGTTAAGACGTAACATTTTCACTGTTAAATGCGCGGGTTCGAACCCCGCTTGGGTCTATTTTAAAAGTTATACTTAGATTTACTTAAGGGGGTATAGTTTAACTGGTAAAACTGCGATTTTGCATATCGTTATTTTAGGATCGAGTCCTAATATCTCCACACGGTGAAATTATAATGAAATTTAAATTTATTATTCATTATTATATAAAAAGAAATACAAATAACCATTTTGCAAAAAAGACTGTATTTTATTTCTGATTTATTTAAAAACGAAAAAAGTATGTTGAGCTTTTTTATGTTGTGTGTTTCTAATCCCTTATTTTTCAGTATATTTTCCTTTTCCTATTAAGATTTAAATTTGGTAAGTAAAGCTTTATACGTTACTCCTTTATTCGTGCATGATAACACTGAAGGTAAGAAAGCAGAAATTGGAAAGGATAATAAAGGTAAGTCTGGTGTTTACAGATGAATAAATACTGCTACAGGTAGGTTTATGTAGGAAGTAGTGCGGTTCTAAACAGAAGAATTAAAGGTTATTTACATACTAATTATCTTCCCCCCCCCCCCCCCCCCCCCCCACGCTAAGCTTGTGTGGGAGGAAAACATATAAACATAAGTCTGTTATATCTTCAGGTATACTAAAGTATGGTTTAATTGTATTCAGCTTGCAGATAATTGAGAATTGTGATAAAAAAAAGACGTTATTTTGAGTGAACTTTTATTTAGATACTATAAAACCAACCTGCAATATACTTAAATTGGCTGGTTCTTCCTTAGGGTTTGAGCGTTATTACTCCAATATAGTACAAATGAAAGAAAGTAAGAATAAGAGCCATCATTTTTTAGGTAGAGAACACAGGGAAGAGTCTTAGTTAATAATGTATTTTTCATCTCGTCTATCTTTACCTGTTAAATAATTAGAGATTGAAACAGGTAAGAAAAAACTCTTAATTCTGTTGTAGAAGCTGCGGATTTATTAAAGGTTAGTCAATTAACTATTCGTAAATATAAAAAGACTGGAGCTGTCTTTAAAAATAAATAAAGTATATTAGCTGTAAATAAATAGGTAACTTAAAAAAAAAGCCCAGGTAGCTCAATTGGTAGAGCGAAACTTTGAAGGTGTTTAGGTTATAAGTTCAAATCTTATCTTGGGCATGTTATTTAAAAAATAATATTTTGTTTATTAAAGATTTAGTAAATATAATATACAGGTTAAATATATTTAAATTTTTATGGTTTTTCACCTAATATATTTAAATTTTTATGGTTTTTCACCTAATATATTTAAATTTAGATTAAAGGCGTATTTAATAACTTTTAGATTTTTAAAAGCGTATGTAAGTATTTTAGATTTTATAGGGTATTTAAGTATTTTTTAGATATTGAATAGGTAGTAACATATTCTATACACCTTATAGAGTTATGTTTGTATATTTTATAATATATTTCGGTATTTTTAGCTGTGTTATATAGTACTCTTAAATCTATTTATAGAAAAAAAATGGGTATGCTGAAATTGGTAGACAGGCCCCGCTTAGGACGGGGTGAAATAATTCATATAAGTTCGAGTCTTATTACCCATAGAGATAATATTAATGTATTGTACAATTTAATACCTATATTTATATTCACTTCTAAATATACACATAATTATAAATATGTAGTAGACTAATGGTAAGTCATAAATTTTTGGTATTTACTTATGGGTGTTCGAATCACCCCTACATAGAAAAGGTGGATATAGTTCAATTGGCAGAACAACTGTATGTGGCACAGTAAGTTCCCTGTTCGATTCAGGGTATCCTCCCAGTTCAATAATATAAATTGGACAGTTATCTCTTTGCTAATCCTTTTTTTTCACAATAACAGTTTTATTTTATATATCTAGGTTTATAGTTATTTTCTAGTTTAATTAGTATATCTACTGCAAAAAAAAAAGCCCGAGTAGTTCAATAGGTAGAACATTAATTTCATGCATTAAGAATGAGAATTCAACTTTCTCCTCTGGCTCATTACAAAAAAAACAGATTAAAAACCATATTAAAGAAATTTTTTTCAAAAATCCGATTATTACACAGAGCAGTTTAAAGTAAGTTTTCATAATTATTATTCTAGCAGTATTATTTTCTATGAAAATATATTCATTACTAAAAAAAAATACAAGACAATAAACAAAAATGCGCTATTTATAAATGGATAAATAAAATAAATGGTAAAAGCTATGTGGGAAGTTCAGCTAATTTAAGTTCACGTTTGTAAAGTTATTTATATATAAATAACTTTACAAACTACCTAACTAAAAGAGCATCTATCTATAATAGTAAAATATATAATGCTTATTTGGCTTATGGATATAATAACTTTCGTCTGGAGATACTAGAGTATTGTGATAGATCTAATGTTATTAAAGTAGAACAAGACTATATAAATTTAAACCTGAGTATAACATACTAACTAAACTAGGATCCAGTTTAAATTTCAAACATTATAAACAAACATTAGACAAATTCAAATCTCGTAAATTAAGTGCTGAAGCTTTACTTATATAAATTCATAGTAATGTATTAACTATATGTGTATTAAGTTATATGTGTATTAAGTTATATGTGTATTAAGTTATATGTATAGTTATACTTTAAATCTAAAATGAAAACAGCAAATTTATAAAATGTTTTTTATCCTTTTTAAAATGAGAAAAACGTTTATAAGCTAAAGTTAAAAATATCTTCCAATAAGATTAAATAGTTAACTCAGTTAACTATAAAAGAAAGAGAGAAAATTTACAAGATGAAATTTTTACCCGTTTATATGATAACGAATATGAACATAGTTTATTAAATTAAAAAAGAATAAAAAAAAATAGACAAACAAATGAGATTATTAAAAAGCCATCCTATTTTAAGGTTAGCGAATTCTTACTTAGTAGATTCACCACAACCTTTAAATTTAAGTTATATGTGAAATTTTGGTTCTTTATTAGGTGTTTGTTTAATTATACAAATTGTTACAGGTGTAACATTAGCGATGCATTATAACCCTAGTGTAGCAGAAGCATTTAATAGTGTTGAGCATATTATGCGTGATGTAAATAATGGATGATTAGTACGTTACTTACACAGTAATACTGCTTCAGCATTTTTCTTCATAGTTTACTTACACATAGGTAGAGGTTTATACTACGGATCATATAGAGCACCAAGAACTCTAGTATGAACTATTGGTACTGTTATATTTATTTTAATGATGGCTACAGCTTTCTTGGGATACGTCCTTCCTTATGGGCAAATGTCACTATGAGGTGCAACAGTTATTACTAACCTTATGAGTGCTATTCCTTGAGTAGGACAAGATATTGTTGAATTTATTTGAGGTGGTTTAAACACAGTTGGACCACATTACGGTGACGTAATGTTAAAAATTTTGCTTAATGCTGGAAAATCCCCCAATTTAGTATTTGCATACGATTTATTCTTGATTTTAACAACAATTATTTACGTAAAAATTGCATTGACATGGGGACAATCAGCAGGGGTGAGAAGTATACACACTTCAGAAGCCTCTCAGAGACTACATGCAGAAGATCTCTCATATGCTTATTTAGTAGGTTTATTTGAAGGTGACGGTTTTTTTACTGTTACAAAAAAAGGTAAATATCTAGCCTATGAATTAGGTATTGAATTGTCTATTAAAGACGTTCAATTGATATATAAAATTAAAAATCTTTTAGCTGTAGGTGTAGTAAGTTTTAGAACAAGAAATGAAATTGAAATGGTATCTTTAAGAATTAGAAAAAAAGACCATTTAAAAGAATTTATTCTACCCATATTTGATAAATACCCTATGTTTTCTAATAAACAACTTGATTACTTAAGATTTAAAGACGCACTATTATCTGGTACTATATATCCAGAGAATTTATCTGAATATATTAGAGATAGTAAACCTATAAATTCGATAGAATCTATTACAAGTGCTTCTTATTTTCCCGCTTGATTAGTAGGATTTATAGAAGCTGAAGGTTGTTTCAGTATTTACAAATTACACAAAGAGGAAGATTATTTAGTGGCTAGTTTCGATATTGCTCAAAGAGATGGAGAGGTATTAATATCTGCTATTCGTGAGTATTTATCTTTTACTAATGCTATATACATAGATAAAACTAATTGTTCCAGACTGAAAGTTACAGGTGTAAGATCTATAGAAAATGTTATTAATTTTTTACAAAAGGCTCCTGTAAAATTATTGGGTAATAAAAAATTACAATATTTATTATGAATTAAACAATTACGTACTATACCTAGATATTCAGAGAAAATTAAGATACCTTCAAATTACTAAAGAGAGATCAAGATATAGTCCGATCAATAAAGAAATTTATTGAGCGTAACGATAGTTTGTTTCAAATGAAGTTACCAACACAAATGCTCTGTTAACAATGCTACATTAAATAGATTCTTCTCATTACACTTCGTTTTACCTTTTGTCTTAGCTGCTTTAGTACTAATGCATTTAATCGTTTTACATGACACATCGGGGTCAGGAAATCCTTTAGGTATATCAGGAAACTACGAAAGAATACCTTTTGCACCTTATTTCATATTTAAAGATCTTATTACAATTTTTGCATTTATATTTGTATTATCTTTATTTGTGTTCTTTATGCCAAACGTTCTGGGTGACTCAGAAAATTATGTAGTGGCGAATCCTATGCAAACTCCTGCAGCTATTGTTCCAGAGTGATATCTTCTTCCTTTCTACGCCATATTAAGATCTATTCCTAACAAATTATTAGGAGTGATAGCCATGTTCTCTGCTATCCTTATATTACTGTTACTACCTATTACAGATGTAAGTAGATCAAGAGGTATGCAATTTAGACCTTTAAGTAAATGAGCTTTCTTTGTGTTTGTGGCTAATTTCTTAATCTTAATGCAATTAGGAGCTAAACACGTAGAATCTCCATTTATTGAATTTGGTCAAATAAGTACCGTTTTATACTTTTTATACTTTACAGTTGTAATGTATGGTGTTACTTTTATTGAAAATACTTTTGTGGACTTAAATTTCTACACTAATACAAAACATTCTTCCCGGTTTAACTTTGTTACTAAAAAATAACAAAAGTTGCCACATGAATATAAAAACATCGTCTTTTTTATCTTATCCACTTCTAAGAAGTAATATTTTAAAAACTTCTAGCTATAGCATTAATATAAAGAAATTATCTTGTTTAGCCAATTCAAATGTAAATTATTTTAATATATTGATAGGTATTGATATGGATACAGAACAAGAAAGGTTAATTCCTTTAATTTGGGAGAAAGATGAGCTTTTATTTATAAGGGATAAGAGTAAAGAAATAAATTACAAAGGATCTTGTTGTGTAATTGATGAAGACAAAGATAATACTTTGTCTGAAAAATTAATAATAGATTATTTAAAATCTGAAAATGTTTGTGTATGTAGTTCTTAAGATATATAAATTCATTTAGATTACATACAAATGTTATGTGACTATATCTAAGGGGGGCATAATAGCTTAGTGAATCTATTGTGAAAAGATATTAAAATTATAAACTTGTGATACAAATGTAATTTATCTTAATTTTATTATAATGAATATTTTTAAGAAAATAGTAGGGAAGTCCAGTGATTAAATATAGCTTTTAAAAAAGCGAAGTACAAGCTTGGGTAATTCACAGAAATTAAAAATAATAAAAACTTTTAGTATTTTATTATAACTATGAAATAGAAAGCCTTAATTAATCTTTATTTTAGTTAAATGTTACATACAAGAACCGGCTTACTTGTATCCAAGTTATACATTTTATAATAATCATGTTGATAAGGGTATCATACAGCAACATCTTTGTAATACGCTTTAAAATACTAAAGAGTACTATATTATTTGTTGTTGTATTATCTAAATCCGTTTATAAAGATGAATTCTTTTTTTTTTTTACTGTTAACTAGTTAATCATTTCATTATCCCTCCCCCCCCCCCCCCTAGCTTCTAACGTTTTATACTTGTAGTAAAAGATAACATATATATATGTTTAACTATCACACAATAATAAGCCCTCTTGACCAATTTGAAATAAGAAACTTGTTTAGCATAGATACACCTTTATTAGCCAATATGAACCTATCTATTACTAATATAGGGTTATATATGACAATAGCTGCTTTTATAGCTTTCTATTTTAGTATTTTAGCTACTAACCATTCAAGAATTACTCCAAACAAATGATCTTTAAGTCAAGAAACATTATATGCAACAATACACAGTATTGTAGTAAACCAAATTAATAATAAAAATGGTCAAGTATACTTTCCATTTATGTATGCATTATTTATTTTTATTTTAATTAATAATTTAATAGGAATGGTTCCTTATAGTTTTGCATCAACATCTCATTTTATTTTAACATTCTCACTTAGCTTTACTGTTGTATTAGGTGCAACAGTATTAGGATTTAAAGAACATGGATTAAAATTCTTTTCTTTATTTGTTCCAGCTGGTTGTCCTTTAGGGTTATTACCTTTATTAGTTATTATCGAGACTATTTCATATCTTGCTCGTAATGTTTCTTTAGGGTTAAGATTAGCTGCTAACGTAAAAAAAAGATGAGATTAGGTACCTCATTCTTGTTGCGTAAAAGAGCCAAATTCCGGAGAAGCCCTAAAGCTCTAATAACTAAAGATAAGACGGAAACTTCTTAACTGGCCTCATTAATGATTGAGGGTATAGTAATATCATTAGAGATCCTAGTAATAGGAATGGGTAATCGCGGATCTAAATCAGATAATTATCTGTAAAAGAGCAACGAGTAGACGGTTCTTCCATTAGATTAAACTAATGGTAAGGTGTACTCTAGTCGCCGGGAAAGCCGGTTCTTAGGAGAAAATAAGTAACCTAAGATTAAAGCTATAACAATAGCCTATCCTCATTTTATAATATTTATTTTCGTTGTTTTTATTCCCTCTATAAACTCGATAGTCTAGTAGGAAGAGTGTGTCGAAAAGGAAAATAAACATAACAACTATCTTACTATATACGGACTTATATAATATTTCGGTAATTTCGTATTATGTGAAGTTTATAATGTAACACTTTAAAGAAAGGATAAAGTATATAAACACCTTTAAATAAGGGGACAAAGTTTATATATACCTTTAAAGAAAGGATAAAGTTGTTAACGACTTAAATTATCTACTGTTAAAAATTCTACGGAGAGATCTGTTCCATCTTATGGTTTTCACTTACATAGCGTGAGATCACGTAGCCTGTTTAATCCATCTAAAAATTATGCCTTCTCTACGAAGTGTTTAAGACCTATTGACGTAAGGGCGTTTTCAACTTCAAAAAGTGATGGTTCCTCTTCTGAAGACTCTTCTGGTCTAGCTGTTTTCTCTGATGCTGACAAAGACAAACTAAGTATCCTTAGTTATGTTAAAGGTAAATCCGGGATATACATGTGAACTAATAAATTGAATGGTAAGAAGTACGTAGGGAGTTCTGTGGCTTTAACCCGTAGGCTTTTGGAATATTACAATGTAAATAGAATGCTAAACGAAAAAAGTATGCCTATTAACGTTGCATTATTAAAGTACGGTTATACTAACTTTACTCTTACTATCTTAGAAATTTGTGACAAAGATAGTCTTATGTCTAGAGAAAAACACTTTTTTGAAGTATACTCTCCTGAGTATAATATATTAAAAATACCTGGAAGCCCTTTGCGAGGATCTGGATGAACACATTCTGAAGCTACAATAGAAAATATGCGTATCGCTGCATCTAAGACATTCAAATCTCCAGAATTTTTAACTAAATTATCTAAAGGTCAATCTAGTGGTATCGAAGTTGAGGTAACTGATTTGGAAACAAGTAATACTTCGACTTATCATGCCATTAGAGCTGCAGCTCGAGCTTTAGATATAGACAAAAGATATATTGAGCATTATGTTTACTTGAAACAAGATAAACCTGTTTTAGGTAGATATATTTTTAAATTAAAATTAAATTCAGATCACACAAATACAAACTTAATTTTAGAAAAGGTTCAAAAAACCTCTAAGAGAGTAGAGGTTACTGACGTAGAGACTAAAGAGGTTACAGTATACTCTTCTATTACCGCTGCTGCTAGAGCATTATGTTATCGTCAAGCAAGTATAAGTTTATACTTAAAAGATCATAGAACTAAACCTTTTAAAGGAAAATATTTGTTCAAATTAGTAAACTAGAATACTGTGGTATACGCCGTGTACTTTACCCGGATACCACCTAATGGAATTATAAAACAATAAAAATATACTTATGTTAATAAATAGCATAATATGAGGATGAATTTGTTGAACGACTTTCAGGACATATGTTACTAAATATACTTAGTGGTTTTACATACAATATTATGAGTTCTGGTATTATTTTCTTTATATTAGGATTATTACCATTAGCCTTTATAATTGCCTTTTCTGGATTAGAATTAGGTATTGCCTTTATACAATCTCAAGTGTTTGTAGTTCTATCTTGTTCATATATAAAAGATGCATTAGAATTACATTAGTAAATATGGCTAACAATTGTACACATTATTATGTAGTTATAAAAATAAATATCTTTTTTTTTGAGACATGAATAGCTCTATTGTAGATAAACTTCATATTAAACAAAGTAGCTTTTTATTTAATTTTGTGCAGATTAGAAAATATTCGACTTCTTCAGAAGATAATGTAAAAAGTGAACTTTGCTTTTCTAATGCGGATACTCATAAATTAGAAATTCTTAAAGCTGGAAAAGATAAGAGTGGTGTATACATGTGAACTAATAATCTAAATGGCCAAAGATATGTCGGAAGTTCTATACACCTTAGACGTAGATTTTTAGAGTATTTTAATACTAATACTTTATTAAGAGACAGTAGTATGGTTATTTGTGCAGCATTGTTAAAACATGGTTATTCTCAATTTAGTTTAGAAATTATTGAATTCTGTAAAAAAGAGGATACTATCTCTAGGGAGAATTATTATTTAAACCTTTTAAACCCAGAATACAATATTGTACAAATAGCGGGTTTACCTCCTAAGGTAGAGCATACTCCGGAAATTCGAGATAAAATTAGTAAATCTCTTAAAGAGTATTATAAAGACCCTAAAGCATTAATCAATCATTCATTAAAGCAGGAGGGACATAAAAGAATCGTTACAGATTTAACTCTTAATATTAAAACTTCTTACCATGCGATTCATTCAGCCGCAAGGGCTTTAAATGTAGATAAAAGACATATTTCCCGTGCTATTCTATTAAAATCAGATAAACCTATTTTAGCTAGATTTATAGTAGAAGCAGCAGAAGATTTAAAAGATTTAAAGAACTATACACAAAAAAGTTTCAAACCTTTATCTTTAACAGAAATAAGTAATGGGGTTATCACTACACACCCTAATATAGCTTCTACAGCTAAAGCTTTGGGCGTATTTCCTCAAAGTATAGTTACATATATTAGAAGAAATACTGGAAAACCCTATAAGGGTAAATACTGAATTAAATTTCTTTAGCGCCTTCGGAAGCTTTTCCAAAAAATAAAACTGTTAGATTACAGTTAACGTGTTACAAAATAGTATAACATATCCCCACACTATAGAGTGGGAAAATTGCAATCACATAATAAAAGGCAATTAAGGGAGAAGACCCGTTTATATTTAAATTCGGTTAAAGCCCTTAAAAAAAGTTATATGTTAGCTTTATAGAAAGAGAACGAAAGTTTAGTTTATCTTATACACCGTATTATAATATATATATTGTAATATTATAAAAATAGATAGTAATGTAATGTATTAGGTATGTATAGAAAGTTATTAATAACTACTATATATATCTGTGCATTATATTAAATAAAAAAAGAGAAAATTTATAAATTTTCTTTTTAGGTCTTATTTTTTTTTTCGTGTGATAATCTACTTACTTATTATCCAAAAAAATACAAAGTCGGCTACGGCAAAAGACGTGTTATAATCTAATTACTTATTCTCCAAAAATACAAAGTCTGCTCCGGCAAAAGACTTAACACCGAAAGGGGACTACAATTCGAAGGGTATATCATACACGGCTGGGCTGACACTCCACGTGGTGATCGTCAATAGGGTTAAGGGACTGCAGGATGCGATGTCTAATAGCTTGTCAAGTATAGTACTTGGCCGGACTTAGTGGCAACTCTAAGGATCCGAGGAATGAGCTTGGTTATTTAAAATTACCATGATTTAAAATAACCATGACCCATGTTTGGTATGAGACAAACACTAGGCTATAGACTACAAACCATTTATAAATAAAAAGTCACAACAATATACTTTACAACAGCATACGCATTAGTTTGCAAAATAGTTTCAATCCATTACTTCTACCAGTTAAAAAAAATTTTTTCTTTATTTGAAAAAGTCTTATCAACTAATTCAAATGATTGAAAATATTTTAAGGTTACCTTAATCATTATTAACTTATTTATATTATGATATTTTTTAAACTGAAATATTCTAATTGGTAATATTCTTATATGTATAGCTGTCGGAGCGTTATATATATTAAGGTTTATCGAAAAAGATGTGTTTTTAAAATATTATGATATAGATATATTTGGATTCTTTTTTAATCAGTTCACAGTGTGAACTGAACTTGCTATAGCTGAATCAACACATAACGGATTAGCTACTGCAATTCTGGTTATTTTTTTATTTGCAATGATGATAAATGATTTATTTTTAAGTAAAAAATCTATGTCATTAGAAGAAAGATTAGATTATCTACTAAAAAATCTACATTTAATATTTACCTTTATAATAGGTATCTTCTTTATAAATACCCTTTTATTTTTATTGGGTATAGGTATTATGATTGACACTAGCACTTTACCATTGTTCATATATACTTTATTAGCAAAAATAACTAGTATTAGATTATTATTTATATTATTCATTAGTTCTGTCACTAAAGAGTTTAAAGCTGAATATTTATCAATAAGTGTATTTACTGTAATAGTTATGGGAATCTTAGCTGTATTTAACTTTCATTTTGTATTACCTTATTTAAATATAATAGGATCTTTTGTTTTAGAAAGATTAGGGGCCACATATACTAATACATGTAATTTTGCGGATAGAACAGCTATTAAATTTAGTAACCATAAAGGTTTATTAGAAGGAATATATAGGATAGTTAATGCATTTCCTATTTTTCATAAAATCCTTAAACTGTTTAATACACTACAGGAGACTAATACAAGTAACGTATTATCTACATTTAGGGTAACTAAAAGTAACCCCTTTAAATTCATTCATAAGGTTACTCCGTTAACTAAGTTAAGTAAATTCAGTCCTATTAATATTGCTGAAACTATACCTAATAAGCTCGATTTATACATTAGCTATAAAGGTAATACTAATTATTTAACAGGTTTCGTTAGTTCTTTTGCAGCCAATATGTCTAATTATGTTTCAAATTGTGCTAGTTTAACATGTAAAGTCCATTTAACTTTCCTAGGTGAAAAGTTTACGATTCATTCTGTATTTGAGAATGGTAATCTACAAGAATATTCTTTCCATAGAACTCCTGTTAATCTAAAAAATAAGAGTTATTTTAATAGTTTCTATCCTAATGGGAAAGATAAAGTGAAGGAACTCTTAGCTTTAACAGATCCAAGTAAAATTGGTTCTAACTTACGGGTCTTTATGCAATCAAATACCAGCCATGATAATACTATTTATTCGCGTGAGAGTTCCACAGCAGATTTAGTGGAGAATAGAGGTAGAAAAAGGACAGATATGGAAAATTCTAATGTACATAAAAAAAGAAAAACTGACTTGGATAGTACTACATTAGATAGTTTAAATATTTCTTATCCTAGTGAATCAGAACTGAATAATATAGACGATAATGATTATGATCCTAATGAATCAGAACTGGATAATATAGACGATAATGATTATGATCCTAGTGAATCAGAACTGAATAACATTGACGACAATGATTCTGGGCCCATTATTACAGAATTGTATAATATAGACGGTAATTTCGATCGCTATGAAGTATATACTAAACTTACTCAGCTAAAGAATTTAGATGATTGAAATGCTAGAAAACCGATCAATAGTCTTTCTTTCACATCTGATAATTTAAAAAAGGAGTTTTATATTTGAGCGTCAACCCTTCTGGATGAAAATCATTCTTTAACAGACAAGACAAGAATAAGACCGGGTATGATTACAATTAATAGTTTATTAAGGATTTTATCTGTAGATTTTCCGGATTTACCCTTAAAGAAAGATATTATCACAGAAAATAACAAACTAGACGGTTACTTCGATCGCAATAAAGTATGTATTACATTAGCTGAAATAATAAAATCAGATGATTGGAATATATCTAGTAAAAGAACGATAAGTAGTCTTACTTTCAGACCTTATTCTTTAAAGAAGGAGTTTTTTGACTGGGCGGTTGAATTTATTAATAAAAATTCTACTTTAATGCAATATGAGAGAAAGAATCCGGGTCAAATTTCTATTAATAAGTTATTTAACTTATTACCGCCAGGTATAGATAGTATAGAAGATATGATCACCGAAGATATGATTTCGGAACAAGATATAGTAAATAAGGTTTTTGATCCCTTAAGGGTATGTAGTAAACTTATAAAGATAAAAAACGGGGGGAATTGAAATATCCATAAGAAAATTTATGCTGTACCTTGTGATCCTAGACTAAAAAATGCATTTTATTCTTGAGCGGCTGTTTTACTAGAGGTAGAGGGTACTATTAAAGATCCTGGTCAAATTAGAATTATGAGTATCTTAAATCTATTTCCTGAATTTCTACTGGAACCTGCGTTAAAAGAATGTTTAATAACAGAATTAGACAAAACAAAGGACAATTCTTTTAATTTTAAAACTATTTATGATAAAGGTACAAAAATGAAAAATTTACACGGTAAATATAAGATTAATGAGATTCCCTGTCATAAAGATGTAAAAAAGGATTTTTATGGCTGAGCTCTTAAAATAGTAGAACCAGAATATGCTGGATTAAAAAAAAACCCAGGGGATATAAGACTTAATACTCTACTCGAGAAAATAAAACCACATGTACAAGAAGTAGACAAACGAGATGAACCAGATGACAATTCTTTTGATTTTGATACTATCTATGATCATCTTATAGAAATGAAAACTTTACATGGTAGTTGTTGTATTAATAAAACTCCTTATGAAGGAAAAATAAAAAAGGATTTTTATGGCTGAGCTCTTAAAATAGTAGAACCAGAATCTGATGTCTACAAAAAACATCCAGGGCAGATTAGAGTTAATACTCTACTGGAGAAAATAAAACCACATGTACAAGAAGTAGACAATTCTTTTGATTTTGATACTATCTATGATCATCTTATAGAAATGAAAACTTTACATGGTAGTTGTTGTATTAATAAAATTCCTTATGAAGGAAAAATAAAAAAGGATTTTTATGGCTGAGCTTTTAAAATAGTAGAACCAGAATCTGATCTCTACAAAAAACATCCAGGGCAGATTAGAGTTAATACTCTACTGGAGAAGATGAAAGCACGTAGAAATTAGGAAGTTATAATGTTCAGAAATTTGTGATATATTACACAGTTTTATGCCTATCGTTGTAGAATCTGTATCTTTAGAGAAATTCTTATCTCTGTTACAAGAACAATAATAGGATAATACCTTTCTAAAAGAATTGTTCTTTTACAACTAACTTGTTATGAAAGGTAACGCCGTTACATAGTAAGATAACAAATCCCAGCTTTAACAATACTTTTTGGTTTAAGCTAGATTCAGTTAAACGTAACGGTAAAGCCTTAGAAGTAACAAATATTTGTACAAATAAGATTACTATATATTCTTCGGTTAGTTCAGCAAGTGAAGCTATAGGTATATCTTTGGATAGTATTTATACTTATCTAAGGCGAAAACGTATTAGTCCTTATAAAAAAACATACCTTTTTAAATGAATTGAAGTTGTCTAGCTGAGTAAAAGTGTGCACAATTAATATATTATTTGGCTTTTTATCGTAAAGCCAGTATAACTTTATACTTAAAAGATAATAGAACTAAGCCTTTTAAAGGAAAATATTTGTTCAAATTAGTAAACTAGAATACTATGGTATACGCCGTGTACTTTACCCGGATACCACCTAATTGAATTATAAAGCAATAAAAGTATACTTATGTTAATAAATAGCATAATCTGAGGATGAATTTGTTGAACGACTTTCAGGACACATGTTACTAAATATACTTAGTGGATTTACATAGAATATTATGAGTTCTGGTATTATTTTCTTTATATTAGGATTATTACCATTAGCATTTATTATTGCTTTTTCTGGATTAGAATTAGGTATTGCCTTTATACAATCTCAAGTGTTTGTAGTTTTATCTTGTTCTTATATTAAGGATGCATTAGAATTACATTAGTAGTTTATTAAATGACATTAGTAGTTTATTAAATGACATTAGTAGTTTATTAAATAACATTACGTCGTTATTACTATTTATACTAGCTATTTGAATAAAGATTATGTGACAATATACTCTTATATATATTTTCAATTTTTATTCTCTTATTATATACGAGTAATCGTTAGATATATCTTTTTTTTTAAGTATAATTATTTTATCTAAAACTTGTTATGAAAGGTAACAAATCCCAGCTTTAATACTATTTTTTATTTAAACTGGAAAATTGTAGTTACAAAATTTGTAATGCAATTAGGGAGAAGACTATCTTTTGTTGGTTAAAGCCCTAACAAAAAAAAAACAGATATTAGCTCAATAGAGAGCATCCACTTTACACGTAGAAGGTTAAGTATTTAAATCATATATAATTAGAATTTTTTTTAGCCCCCTTCACAAAAAAAGGGATATGTTGCATAGGGCTATGCATTTTGATTGCAGATCATAAATATAAGGTTCAACTCCTTCATATCCCTAAATCACCTCTATAGCGGAAAGTGTACTTGTAAATTAACTTATATAAACCGAGCATTTATCATAAATATCGTGAAATTTATGAATATATACTATAAGATTTATAATCTAGTTCATGTAAACGTGCACTTTTTAAATCTGATGGTTGTTTTTGGCTTATACAAAATATTTCAGCTATATAAGGTAATAGATGTGTTATATATATATATTAAAAAAGTACATTAGTATAAAAAAAATTAGTAAATAAAAATTTATAGACCATGGGTAAGGTCTAACATAAGAAACGTGTGTAGCTCTCGTACATATTAGTTTTTACCATTCCGTTTATAGAGTATTTAAAAATACTTTTTAAAAGATATTTTTAAATCATTGTAAAAGGATGAATTTCTTTCTATAAAAAATGATAAATTGGAAGAATTTAACTGTTTATCTGGATAAAAGATAAAAATGGGATTCTTATTACTAAGATTTAAATGGTGTAATCGAACCTAGGACTTTTTAACTAGAAACGACTAAACGGTTACATCAGCCTTTAAGATGGTTGTGCCTTCGATTAGGTGTTCTGAAAGTAACATACTTAGAACAAGCACTATACTATCTAAAGAGGATAAATACAATAACCTAAATATAAAAACATCAGGTATTAGTATGTGATTTGAAAGATGATTCTTATCTTCAAATGCTAAAGATATTGGTGTGTTATATCTAATCTATGCATTATTTGCCGGTTTAATAGGTACTGCCTTTTCTGTATTGATTAGATTAGAGTTGTCTGGACCTGGTGTTCAGTATATTGCTGATAATCAATTATATAACAGTATTATTACTGCTCACGCTATTATAATGATTTTCTTTATGGTTATGCCTGCTTTAATTGGAGGATTTGGTAATTTCTTACTTCCATTAGGGTTAGGAGGACCTGATATGGGATTCCCTAGACTTAACAATATTAGTTACTTATTACTTATTCCTAGTATTGTTCTTTTCTTATTTGCAGGTGGAATTGAAAATGGAGTAGGTACAGGGTGAACTCTGTATCCACCTTTATCAGGAATACAAAGTCATAGTGGTCCAAGTGTGGATTTAGCTATATTTGGATTACATTTATCTGGTATATCTAGTTTACTAGGAGCTATGAATTTTATGACAACTACATTTAACATGAGAAGTCCTGGAATTAGACTACATAAACTAATCTTATTTGCATGAGCAGTTGTTATAACTGCTGTTTTATTATTATTATCATTACCTGTTTTAGCCGGTGGAATTACTATGGTTCTTACAGATAGAAACTTTAATACTTCATTCTTTGAGGTAGCAGGTGGTGGTGACCCTATATTATACCAACATCTTTTCTGATTCTTTGGGCATCCGGAAGTTTACATCCTTATTATCCCTGGATTTGGTATAATTAGTACTACAATTTCAGCCAATTCTAACAAAAGCGTTTTCGGTTATTTAGGTATGGTTTACGCCATGTGTTCTATTGGTATTTTAGGATTTGTAGTTTGAAGTCATCACATGTATACTGTTGGTCTTGATGTAGATACAAGAGCGTATTTCACAGCAGCAACTTTAATTATTGCAGTACCTACTGGTATTAAAATATTCTCTTGATTAGCAACTTGTTATGGTGGTTCTTTACACTTTATACCATCATTACTATTTGCATTAGGTTTTGTATTTATGTTTACTATTGGAGGGTTATCAGGAGTAGTGTTAGCGAACGCATCACTTGATATTGCCTTCCACGATACCTACTACGTAGTTGCTCATTTCCACTATGTTTTAAGTATGGGTGCTGTATTTGCCTTATTTAGTGGATGATATTTCTGAATTCCTAAAATCTTAGGATTAGATTATAACTTACTTTACTCTAAAGCTCATTTCTGAGTTTTATTCACCGGGGTTAATTTAACTTTTTTCCCTCAACATTTCTTAGGTCTACAAGGTATGCCACGTAGAATTAGTGATTACCCTGATGCTTTTACAGGTTGAAACTTTATTAGTAGTATTGGTTCTATTATATCTGTAGCTGCAACAGCACTTTTCTTACATATTGTATACTTACAACTTGTTAAAGGTAAAGCTATCTTCGGATATCCTTGAGCCGTTCCTCAACTATTTAGTGATTATTTACGTATACTTAAAGATAAGTGTGCTCCAGGATTAGAGTGAGCATTACATAACCCACCTAAACCTCACGCATTCACTAGCTTACCTTTACAAAGTAGTGGTGTATTAAGTATTATTTTTCTAGGAATAAGTAACTTATTAACTGTTTGTAACGAATTTGTATGTGATGCACCTAGAGCTTGAGGACTTTACTTCCAAGATAGTGCTAGCCCACAAATGGAAGCGTTAGTAGAATTACATGATAATATTATGTATTACTTAGTTGCTATTTTATTTGCTGTAGGTTGAATACAAGGAGCTATTATTAAAAATTTTGATAGTTCTAAATCACCTATAAGTAACAAATATCTTAACCATGGTACACTAATCGAGCTTATATGAACTATTACTCCTGCTTTAATCTTAGTATTAATCGCTTTCCCTTCTTTCAAATTATTATACTTAATGGATGAAGTTACTGATCCTTCATTATCTGTATTAGCAGAGGGGCACCAATGATATTGAAGTTATGAATATCCAGATTTCTTAAATAGTGACGGAGATTTTGTTGAGTTTGATTCTTACTTAGTTCCAGAATCTGATTTAGAAGAAGGAGCGTTAAGAATGTTGGAAGTAGATAACAGAGTAATTCTTCCTGAAATTACACATACTAGATTTATTCTTACTGCTGCAGATGTTATCCATTCATTTGCAATACCAGCATTAGGGGTAAAATGTGATGCTTACCCAGGGAGATTAAACCAATTTTCTGTTTTAATTAACAGATTAGGAACATTCTATGGTCAATGTTCAGAAATTTGTGGTATATTACACAGCTCTATGCCTATCGTTGTAGAATCTGTGTCCTTAGAGAAATTCTTGTCTTGATTACAAGAACAATAGTCATAAACTTACTTTTGGTTAAGTATTAGCTAAAATAATTGTTCTTTTAAAATTAACTTGTTATAAAAGGTAAACATATATTTACAAGACAGTTTCTTAAAAAAAGAAAATAACAGTTTCTTAAAAAAAAGAAACAAATAGTATAACAAATCCCAGTAGATAGTTTATTATCTACTGGAAAATTGCAGTAGATATATTTCTAGAGCAATAGGGGAGAAGACTAGATTTTTTAGTTAAAGCCCTAACAAAAAAAAAATATCCAAAAAGAGCTCAATAAAGAGCATTACTTTTACACGCAACAGATCATTTTATACCTATAATTCCTTTAAATACTCTATGTTAAATATATTCAGTAATAAACAAAAAGGGGTCTACGATATACTACTATTTACTACCCCTTTCAAACAAAAACCCCACATAATTAAGAGTGATTATGAAATAAATCAAAATACTAGATATTACCCGTTTGCTAGTAAAGAATGATCTACTAATATATATTCTTACAATAAATCTTATACTAAATCTTTAATCAGTTTGAATGCTATACTAAATAAATTAGTTAAAAGTTATTGTAATATTTTACAAAATAAAATAAAAATACTATTTAAACGTAGACGTGCTAACAAAATGCGTTATTCAGCTGATAAAGTATATATTAGTGGAATTGAGTTAAGTCATACTAACAGTAATATTTTTATTACCTTGTCTCTATTTAATAAACGTAAGTACTCTATTGAACAATCTATAAGAAAAGCTATTACATTGATCCAATATCATAAAATAAGGGGGGTTAATAATAAAGTAATATATATAGCAAATCATAAAAACAGGTTACTTCATTTTTTTAAAAATAACTTTTGCATATCTAAAAAATGAAATATTGCTTTTTTTAAACCTATTGGTAATGTAGTAAAATATTTTACAGTTAATATAGGAAAAAAACACCTTGAGTCACATAATATACTTACAAATAACATTAAATTATTAAATAAATTCATTACATCACAAATAAACCTATTTACTTCTACAAAGGAAATTAACTTTAGTATATCTAAATATAATACCTTATATATAAAATGAAAAGGTTTAGGTTTAATTAGTTTAATAGAAAAGTTATTTAACAAAAAAGTGGAAATAGAGTTAATTGAATTAAAAAATATACATTTAAATAGTGCTGTATTTTCATCAGCAGTTGCTTTAAAATTAAGAGATAGGAAAAATAAAGCAGTAAGAATTTTAAGAAAAGCTATCTTACAAATGGTAAGAATACCTGATTTACATACGCTTATAACATTTGATGATAATATTGAAGAAATGAACAAAAACAATATTATAAATACTATAAAACAACAAATAGTAACTGGTGTGAGATTGGAGGCATCTGGTAGATTAACCAGACGTTTAACAGCTATGAGAGCGGTATTCAAATACAGATATGCAGGTAGTTTAAAAAATATACGTTCTTCATTTAACAATAAATCTTCTACCATGCTAAGAGGTTACGTTAAATCTAACTCACAATATACATTAATAAACTCTAAAACCAGAAATGGAACTTTTGGGTTGAAAGGTTGAGTAAGTAGCCATAGTGGAATAATAGAAAAATTGCATTTATCACCCTGTAATCATTACTTAGGATTTGTTGAAGATAAAGCTATTTTCGGCTACCCTTGAGACGTTCCTCAACTATTTAGTGATTATTTATGTTTATTTAAAGATAAATGTGCTCCAGGTTTAGAGTGAACATTACATAACCCACCTAAACCCCACGCATTTATTAGCTTACCATTAACGAGTGGTTTGGATAAAGGTAAAGGTAGAGCAAAAAGCTCACCGGAAGTAGAAAAAATACCCTCACCTTACCCTGAAACGGATTCAGAGGATGAGAGAAATATCCGTAGAGCGCTAGAAGCTTCATTGAAGCCGCCTAAGATAGGAGAGCCTTCTACTAGTAAAGTATCTCAAAAAGAGACTTCTCCAGAATCAACCTATAACCATTCTGATGCGGAAGCTAAGGTCCAGCTATATAAAGATTGTAATGATGAATTTCTACGTTATTCAAGGCTCCATTTTAATTTAAAAATTTCATTGGTTAAAGAGCCTACAACTAAAGAAAAAGATTCCTTATCTTATTACTTAGAAAAGGCTAATTATTTTAAACAAAAAAAAACAACTGTTGAACAAGAACTTATGAAACAGGGGATAGAACCCTCTGCTCAATTTAGTTCAAAATCTAGTTCAGTTAGAGGTTCTAGCTCTGAGTACGAATCTGAGAGTTCTGAGGATAGAAGCAAAAAGCGGGTGAAGTATTCAAATGATAAGAATATAGACTCTTCTTTAGGTTTTATTCTATTCAATATTACACCCGTATTACGTCTATTATCTTGTGTATTTTCAGCGATTTTTTTCCTTATGTGTCTTATTTTACCTGACTTAGATTTATCTTTTGTAAAAATAGACTTATCTCAATTATTATTTACATATCTAATGTTTAGTGTAACTAAATTAATATACAAATCATATAGAGTTGCTACTACTCTATATAATCATTTTTTGAATAAAGATTATATGATAATCTATTTTAATGTATATTTTTCTATTGTTACAATTTTATTATGTTTTAGTGAGAATAGTGGTATTTTTACTATTTAGTGTAATTTTTACTATTTAGTGTTATTCCTTTATATACTAAACACGATAGGAAATAAGAGGAGAAGACTCCTCCATGGTTGGAGAAGACTCATCCATTATTGGTAAAGCCTAAAAAAATATTAGCTCAATTGATAGAGCATCCGTTTCTTTATACGATCTTTTTTATGGATTTTCTATAAATAATTGTTCTTTTACCGTTAACTTGTTATAAAAGGTAAACGTATGTTTACAAGATAGTTTCTTAAAAAAAAAAAAAGAAAATAACAGTTTCTTAAAAATAAGAAAATAACAGCATAACAAATCCCAGTGAATAACATATTTTTAACTGGAAAATGGCAGAAGAGACTTCTTTTTACTCACTTTTTTTTTATAAAAAAAAGTTAGCCATTAGGGAGAAGACTAAACTTTTTTGGTTAAAGCCCTTTAACTACAATATATCTTCTAAGTTTTATTTATTACAAATAAATCCTTTTATATAAAAAACTAAGTGTATATAACTTAATAGTGTATTTGATATACATTCTAATAAATGAATAATTCTTATTAGTTTAACGGTATTATAATATACTCCTAATATACTAATCTAAATAAGAGTTTATATAACAATACTTTTTTTTAGAATACATGTTTTTATGGTTTTACCGAGAATTTTTTACCTTAAGATTTATGCGGTGTAATTTTAAAGTCGGTCTGATACATTGTCATTCCATACGAAATAGAGGTCTTTATATATTTTTTTTTTAAACATGTTATTATCATTTTTACTTTTAACTCCTATACTAGGTGTATTTGCAATATTATTTAATAAAGATAGTGGAGCATCGTCAGCAAACATAAAATCCATAGCTTTAATTACATCTATCTTAAATTTCTTTATATCTTTAGTCATTTTCATTTTATTTGATTTTAGTACAAACCAATTTCAATTTGTGCAAGAGTATCGTGATATAAGTTATTTTGATTTATATCTAGGTGTTGATGGTCTATCTATATACTTCATTTTATTAACTACACTAATTATACCTATCTCATTAGTATCTAACTGAAAATCAATAACAAAAGATGTAGAATCTTATGTTATTGCAATACTATTGTTAGAGAGTCTATTATTGGCGGTTTTCTTAGTATTAGATATTTTACTCTTTTATATTTTTTTTGAGAGTATTTTACCACCATTATTCATACTAATAGGTCTATTTGGATCTGATAATAGAGTAAAAGCTAGTTTTTATTTATTTTTATATACGCTGTTGGGTTCTTTATTTTTATTACTGTCTATATTGGCAATGTCATCTATTATGAGTAACACAGATTTAGACACTCTTTTTAAAGGAAATTTTCTTTATTTAACGCAACTTTTCTTATTTTATGGTATTTTTATAGCTTTTGCAGTAAAAACTCCTACAATCTTTTTAAACACATGACTTCTAAAGGCCCATGTTGAGTCACCTTTAGGAGGAAGTATTATTTTAGCGGCAATTGTTCTTAAATTAAGTTTATATGGGATACTAAGATTAATCTTACCTATATTACCTAAGGCCTATATGGTATATACTTACATCATATTCCTAATAGGAGTTATTACTATAATATACGCCAGTCTTAGTACATTAAGAACAATAGATGTTAAAGAACTTATAGCGTATAGCTCTGTTTCTCATGCTGCAGTTTACCTTCTAGGTGTGTTCAGTAACAGCATACAAGGAATTGAAGGTGCTATAAACTTAGGGTTGGCTCATGGATTAGTGTCACCTGGTCTATTTATTTCTGCAGGAGGGGTATTATATGATAGAGCTTCTACAAGAGTAATATCTTTCTATAGAGGAGTTACTCAACTAATGCCTTTATTTTCTATACTGTTCTTTATATTATGTCTAGCTAACTGTGGAGCACCTCTATCTTTAAACTTTATAGGAGAATTTTTATCATTATACGGTGTATTCGAAAGATCATCGCTATTTGGTGTTTTTGCAAGTTCTTCTATAATCTTTTCTGCAGCCTATACTATCTATATGTATCAAAGAATAGCATTTGGAGGTGTTTATTCAAGAATGTTTACTTTTAGCCTACCAGACTTAACTAAAAGAGAATTTACAGTTTTATTACTATTAGTAATACCTACCGTATTCTTTGGTATTTATCCTGCAGCTATATTAGACGGTGTGCACTATTCAGTTTCAACGTTAATTTACGCTTTAGATTCTTCTGTTATTAGCTGTGATGCACCTAGAAATTGAGCACATTACTTCCCTGATACAAGTCAACCCGCCTTTTATCATGGTTGTTTTGCATCATTATTTTGAATAATCCTTACAATTATAGCTATTAAAAATAAAACAGAAATAAAAAGTATTTACCATAGAAAAGGTAAACTGTTTTTATATTTTATATTTGCTAATTTATCCGTAGCCTTTGTTATAAATATCATATATGCTTTAATTATGTTACATAATTTAGTTTGTGTAATCGAACATTTTACACTATTTAATCCTTCATCTGATGCAGAGGTAGAACAATTCGCTGACTTATACTGTATGGACTATCATCCAACAGTAGAAGGTTCTTCTGTAGTGAAAGGAGGGTATAATGTGTCATTAAGTTCTATAGGTGGAAGTTCTATAGGTGGAAGTTCTATAGATGAAAGTTCTACAGATGACTCGGGTCCTGGATCACCAGGTGCTTCCTCAGTTGGTAGCTATAATCCAGCACCGGGAAGTCTTCAGGAGGAGGTTCAATTATTTAAAACCTCTGGCCATATCCACCCGAGTGCACCAGAATTACATAAGGAATTTGATGCCGACCCGAAGAAAATATTTGAGCATTCTGTTGCTCTTATAGCCGAAGTAGAGGCAGAGAGAGATGAATTGCTAGATAAAATAGCTAGTGAGCAAAACCAAAACAATATCGAGGAGGATGAAATTGGTCTTCTTAAAGATGATGCAAACATAGGAGCTAAAAAAATTACAGATAGTATTAAAGAAACTAACGACGTAGCCGTAGATTCTATTGATGATACTTCGGACACAGAAGAGTTTATATTTAATAAAAGAAAACCTTAATTTTTTACTACAACAGTAAGAAACTTACTTATAGATTTTAAAAGGGTTTTCGGCTTTTATGTTTTTCTAGTAATTTCAATGAAATTGCGTCGAAAAATATTACCCAACCAGGTTTGTTTTGCAAAGACGACGCCAGCGCTAAATATAATGGTTATTCTACCATTAACTTGTTATTAAAGGTAACGCTTTTACCATATAGTTTCTTAAAAAAAAAATAAACAAACAGTATAACAAATCCCAGCTAGATCCATTTTTTTTTATTCTATTAAGCTGGAAAATTGCAAAAGGATATATATATATTTCTACTACCTCCCCTTGTTTTTTTTAGTAATTTCTATTAAAGAAATTACGTCCAAAAACTAGGGGAGGTAAGAGCAATTAGGGGAGAAGACCAAGAATAGCGTGCTATTCTTGGTAAAGCCCCAGAAAAACATAAAAGAGCTCAAAAACAGCTTAATAAAGAGCATACCTTTTACATAAAAAAAGGTTATTTTATACATACCGTATTCCAGAGTTGTTATAGCTAATTAGCTATCTACTTCTATAGAGTACTAATCATAGATATCTTATACATTAATAATTCTTATTTATTTAAGAGCAAAATAATCTATTTTTGTATCCTAATATAAGCAAATGTCTTATATTATAAATTACCTTTAGTTATATAGCTATAGCTCTATTCTAAGGGGGTTACAAATGTCTGCTGTATTAAACTCTATTTCTTCATCTAAAGACCCCTTATATTTCACTAAAAAAAATGTCCTTGTTTATTTGGGAAACGCTATCCGGGGGGGGGGGATAGAGAGTAAGGGTTCGGTCTTCCTTAGGACTTTAATTTTTATTTATTAGGTTTGATATGTATATTTTTATGTTCTTATGCTTTATTGTTATATATTAAACCTTTATAGGTGCCATATAATAATGCCTTGCCTAATCCTTAGTTAAATAGTTATTTCCATATAAATATAATATATACATTTTACCCATGGAGATCATGTTTCCTTTATATTGTAGAAGATATGCAAATATAATAGTTACAATACATGAAAAAAACCATCCGTAGAATAAGATAGTTTAAAAATAGAATAATTAGGAAATAGACTAATAACCAAAAAAGTTTCGTTAATCTAATTAAGAATTACATATTTAAATTTTATGTGGAAAAAAAATATTAATGGCTTTTTAAAATAAATTTATAATAAAGGTATATTACAAGGCATTATTTCAAAGCTATATAATATACATGGGACTAGTATAATAAATGCAATGACTATTGGTAATAAAACAGTTCAACAATAAGACATAAGTTGGTCATAACGTATACGCGGGAATGATGCTCTTGCTCAGATAAATACAAATATCATTATACAAGTTTTAACCCCTATTACTACACCACTTATAGTTGTTCCTATAATTGAATTGTAATTATCAAAGTCAATTACATTAAAATTGGTTTCATTATCTGTTAGATACATATAACTATCACCTGCAATAAATTGCACTAAATAAAAATAAGGGTACAGATAGTAGTTAAAATCAAACAGATAACCACCTAAAAATAAAATACTATTTAAAATACATATAAGAATAATACTAGCATATTCAGCTAAAAAGAAAAATACAAAAATAACAGCTGAATGCTCTGTCATAAAACCACTAACTAATTCTGATTCCTGAATTGTAAATAATCAGTAAATACTTTTTATTCATTAAAAGTATTAACTTTTAAGTAGTATTTACCTTGAAAAACCAACCCTTTATTTATATATTTACTTACAGTAACCTTAGATACATTTAAATAAATAGCTAGATCTGAAGCATAATCAAAACTTTTTACCAAATTGTAATCTAGGTCATAGATACCTACACCATTAATATATTTAACTTTTTTACTTCTTATAAGGTCTTTAGTTTTTGCCGAATGTGTCTTACCAAACATAGGGTTTAATGACCCAGGTTTGCTAATTAAAGATTTAGATGTTTCATCCTGATGCTTTCCTCAGAAAGGATGATTAGTTATATCTTGAAACCTTTCTACCGTTTTTTGTTTAGCAGCATCTGTATGCTTGTAACCTTCTGAGTTAGAAGCACTTTTTAAAAAATTATATAAATTGCTGAACTTAAATTTATTTATATATATAGTTTCTAAAAAAGTTAATAGTTTAAAACTGTTAGTCTTATTCTCATATGTAAAATATTCATATATACAAATGTTAAATTTCTCTAAACCATATTTTGAGATAGCAGTCTGTAAAGCTCTATTTTATTTTCTATTTGATAAATGTTCGTTTAATCTTAAACATAAATCTTTAGCACTACCTATATATTGTTTTCCATTAACTTTGTTTAAAAAACTGTATATACCTCGAAAATTTTTATCTAAAAAAAATGGAAGATCACGTTTAGAAAACATGGAATCTTTATCTTGTAAATCCGTTATAGTTAATACAGGTATGGGATTATTAGGATAACTTGAGCTAGAATAATACCTACGTAATGTAAAATTAAAATTAGGACTCTTACTGTAAGTATTTTTAAGTTGGGTTTGGTTTAATTTAATTTACTAAATATACTATAGTATATCTATGGGCTATAGTATATCTATGGGCTATATCATATACAGTTATATAACTGTATTATCGCGTGTAGTCTCTGAGGATCCTGTTTGCCCCCTTTCTGTTGAGGGGCCAACTTATAATTAAAATTATTTTGGTTTCCTGCTGATTGTCTATTGTAACATCTTGGACAATTTTTACATAACTTCATAAACAGCATAACAATAACACTGGTATGGTCCACGTATACAAAGATTTAAGAGTTTCCAGCATATAGCGATATTTAAAGAGGCCAAATCTTTATAAGTAGAATTATTTTAAAGTAGTAAAAACTAGCCTCTGCTAAATCGAAGGGAGCCCTATTGGTTTCTGCTATAGACCCTATAAAAAATACAATAAATATAGGAAATAAAGGTATTACATATCAAATAGCTCTTTGAGCTTCTATAATAACAGTAATATCTAAACTACCTGCTAATAGTACTACTAAAAGTATAGCAGAACTTAATATTAACTCATAACTAATTAATTGAGCTGTACTTCTCAATGATCCTAAGAATGCATATTTAGAGTTAGCTGATCATCCAGCTAAAAGTATCCCATACGTAGCTAATGAAGACATAGCCAACATATATAATATACCCAAATTATAGTCTAACAACATTAAACCAGGTCCATAAGGTATTACAGCATACCCTAATAGTGAAAAAATTAAAGTTATAATAGGACCAAGGAAAAATAAAACAATATTGGCTTGTGTAGGAGAAACATATTCTTTTAATAGAAGTTTAAGAGCATCCGCAATGGATTGAAGTAGACCATATCAACCCACTGCATTAGGTCCCAATCTTCTTTGCATACTAGCCATTGTTTTTCTTTCAGCTACTACTATAAAAGCTACTGTTAATAAAACAGGTATAGTAACAGCTAAAACTTCAAGAACAGATATAATAGTTGGAAAATATAACATTTTAAATTTAGAAGAATGATCTTAAAATTACATTTAAAAAAGTATATTTTAATTAATCATGTTAATTATCTATTTAATATATAGATTGTATATTTTACGTTTATAAGTTAATGTATTATTTCTAATACATTACTATTATATTATATAATAGTTATCTCTTTTGCCTTAATGCAAAAAGGGAGATAAAAGGATTTATTTGTAATAAATAAAACTTAGAAGATATATTGTAGTTAAAGGGCTTTATTCAAGAGATATAAATTTCTCCTTCCCTAATCGGGCTAAAAAAACATTCTAATTATATATGATTAAAAGTCATACGCTTACCATTAAAGCGGATGCTCTCCTAGTTTTTTTCTTTTTTTTTTTGTTGGGGGCTTTACCAATAGCGGGTCTTCTCCCCCCCCTAATAGCTGTGTAGATATAAGTCCACAATGCTATTTTCCAGTAAACAAAAAGTCTTTATCTAATGGGATTTGTTATGCTATATAGCTATGTTACCAGATAACATAACAAGTTAACGGTAATCTACCCGTTATTTATAATAAACTTATTAAGTTTTTTACCTATTACCAACACTGCTTTTAAAAGATATTAAAGATAAAGATACACATAGCGCTAATATAACAATAGAACTATTGATATATGAGTAACATAAAAGATAAAGGATTAACCCTATTAAAATATATAAGGCATAAGATGTAATAACACCAGTACTTAATTTAGCTATATTGTTACTTATATTCAATAATCCTTTTTCTAATCCATAAGGTCCTATATATTCTACGGATCCTTTATCTAGTACTTTAGTAGTCTGTCCACCAAGTTTTAGTATAATACCAGTAATGTATCTGTTGTAGAATAGTTCTATTAAGAAACGTTGATTAAAGAAACTAAAAATGTTGTAACCTACTCTAGATAATTTAAAATAAATTAGTATAGTAGATAAGTATTCAGACAACACTATAGCAATTACACTTAATGAAATAGTAAACACTAAAGGTAATAACTTAAATAGAGTTGGTACTCCAAATTCAGTATCTAACATTATCTCATGAGAAGGATGTATAAATAAAGCATTATCCGAAAAGAATCCTGAACCTAATCCTATAAACATATCCTTTGTTATAAATCCAAAGAATATAGAGAATACAGCTAAAATCATTAAAGGTAAGCTCATAAAGATATCACCTTCATGTGCGTTTTTATAATTGATTAAAGGTCCATTAGGATTAGTTAAGAATGTTAAATACAATACTTTTACAGAGTATAATGTAGTAAACATTGCTCCTATTGTAGCTATTATGTAAACAACAGTACTAGAGAAATAATATTGTCCGTAAGCAGATTCAAGTATAAAATCTTTTGAATAGAACCCTGTCATAAAAGGAAAGGCTACTAAACTTAAAGAAGCTATAAGCATTACAGAATAAGTAAGTGGTAAAAATGGTCTCAACCCACCGTATTTTCTAAAGTCTTGATTATCAGCTACAGCATGAATTACTGCACCAGCTCCTAAAAATAAAAGTGCTTTATAGAACGCATGGTTCACCAAATGAAATAAAGCTATATTATAAGAAGATAAACCTACAGCTATAACCATCATCCCAAGTTGGCTCATTGTAGAATAAGCAATAACTTTTTTAATATCTTGTTGGAATAAACCTATTAAAGAACTAAATACAGTTGTAATTGCACCTAATCATAGACATAACATTAGCACTGTTGAACTATATTCTATTAAAGGAGATGAACGCATTAATAAATACACACCAGCTGTAACCATAGTGGCAGCGTGTATTAGTGCACTCACGGGTGTAGGACCCTCCATCGCCATAGGTAGTCATACGTGAAGTCCTATTTGAGAACTTTTAGCCATAGCTCCAATTAATAAACATATACCTACAATAGTTACAACATTTTCATTCATGTAAGGAGCTAATGAGAATACAGTTGCATAATCTAAATTTCCAAACGCTAATAATATAGCAAACATACCTATAGTTAAGAAACAATCACCTACTCTATTTGTTAAAAATGCAGATAAAGAGCTTTGATTTGCTGCAATTCTAGAATATCAGAAACAAACTAAAAGATATGAACAAACCCCAACACCTTCTCAACCTACAAACATTAATAAAAAGTTATTTGCTGTAACTAATATAACCATCATAAATGTGAACAAGCTTAAATAGCTAAAGAACCTTTGGTTATGCATAAAATAAAATTTATCTTGCAATTGATTTATTAAGTGTTTTATATTAACAATGGTTAATTATTTTAAAAATTTCTACCTGTGTTCATACCAGATTTTATCTTTCTAATAGAATTTATACCTTCAACAGTAAGATGAGAACGATTAAGCATTAAACTATGTATCTTACATCAATCAAGATAATCATGTAATTTTATACCAATTATAGGGTTTTCATCAAAAAATGGAACTAATATATTGGTAATATCTTTAAAATCAACTATTGTTAAACTAATAGAAGATTTACCAGCATATTTATAGATTTTTCCTGATCCTAAGTATTCAACTATTTTCTGCATTAATATAAGATCTCTACTATGTTGAGATATTCTAAATCTCAATTGTACTCGATAACCCAGTTTACTATTGGTGGATGGTACACGAACATCAAAATTTCCCTCAGCGCTAACAAAACCTGAAATTCAATAAGGGTTTAAAATTACATTGTCATTATTTATTACAGGTCTTTCAACTGGAACATATCCAGGAAACTCTGATATTAACATGTCAGATAAACCTAAATTCATGGATGCTTTTATGTTTACTATTTTTTCTAGGCCTTCTAAAGTGAGATGGGCTTTATTATTTACAAGTTCCACCGCTTTTTTTAATAATAAAAAATCCGCGGCTTTTTGAGTTAATAACGGATATTTATCTAAATAAAGAATAAGGTTATTTAAATCTTTAATTGAATCTATTGAATAATTAACCATATCTCGGTTTTTAGCTAGATGAATAGAACCAATACCACCTAAATGTTGTTGTAATAGACATAATAAGTTAAGATCTTTTGTGTGTAGACCTAATTGAAATTTTAATTCAGCACGTCAACCTAATGCACGAACTTTACTTTTGCTTATTATTATACTAAACGAACCTTCACCGTCTATTAAACCAGATCAGACTCCAGGATTTACAATAGTAGAACGATAGGTAGAAAATTTTTTTAAATCGAATTGTTTAGATGGGGTTTTTATGTAGGAGTTTCAACTTTGTTGCATATTGAAACCGAGTTTTATATCTCTATTCCTTTCGGAACCCTGTAGAATACACCTTATATTCATTAAATGTGATTTAATGAATAAACTGCCGTCTACTCGTTGCTCTTTTACAACAATATCATTTAATATTGCTGACTTAGATCCGCGATTGTCCATTTTGTTTTCACGCATCTTAAGGGTTGTTACCATACCTGAGTAATTACTTCAGCCACACATAGTTTTTCAACTATAGCTTGGTACCTTAAGCTTTAGGAGTTCCCCGGAGTTTGACAGTTTATCCCCATAGACGCGTTTTCCCGTTACGCGACCCCGAGGATCTTCACTCATATACCCTATCGAATAGATATGCACTAAAGAAGAAACTATTAGCACAGGTATAAGCATAGAAACTGTTAGTGAATCAAAATGAAATGCTCAAGATACATTTAACGATTCAGAATCAATTCATCTACATACCTCTATTGATACAGGTATATTGTTTAATCCAACTTCAAAGAAAGCTAATACAGCCAAGATTGTTGTTGTTACAACAGCTGTACATGTAATTATTTGTGCCCCTGATACTCCGATTTTTCTACCAAAAAAACCAGAAGCTATTGACCCTAATAGTGGTAAAATTATTATAGCTAGATACATTATTTAAATTCAATATTTATATTTCCTCTTCGTTTTCTCCTTTTTCCGTAGGAATTATATTCCCTTAGGAAGGCTAGGATATTACCATAATTTTTGAGTTATGCCTGACTATATCTTAAGCAAATAATTAAATTATCATAATTATAAACCAACCTACATTTAGTCGATGAACTGTGCACCAATATCAATATATTGGTGTTTAGCTGCGGATAATCTATTTCATTTCTTCATACAAATCGTTTTTACCATACAACGAGTTATTACCTGTTCCATACATTACATTACTGTAATAATTTGGTAGATTTGTCTTTAAGATGTTCCCGCAATTTTAAGGTTTTGCCATATTGAAAATATGACTAGGCAGAGCTTTACTCTACCTTTTTTGATCTAGTTTCTCTGTGCCTTCTAAACACTGTTATTATTCATAGCCTTATTTGAGTAAAGTGACGTAATTCTTCCTTTTAACTGTAAAACTTGTTTTAAACCTAGCCCATCTTTATTCAGGTGTTCTTTATTTTTAATAATATATGATGCACTCTTGAAATCCAAGAAATTTAAGTGCTTTGACCCTAATATAGGGTGTTTATCAAAAAAAGGAATTACATGTTCAACTATGTGATCAATTTTTGTAACAATAAACTCAGATACTGAACGTTTTTTATAATTCATTACAGAACCACCACCAAAGAAAACAACAAAGCTCTCTAATAATAAGAGATCTCTTGAATGTTGAGCTATTGAAAAACGTAATGAAGTATATAAACCACTATTAGTCTTAGATTTTTGAACAGCAATAAAAAAGTTAGATTCTCCAGTAGAAAACCCTGCTACTCATTCCGGATGTAAGTTCTTATTTTTAATAAAGCTTTCTAAGTTAAGCGTAGCTGGAATAGTCATAGGGAATGCTTCTTTTAAATCATCAGATAAACCTGTTTTTATAGAGGCTCTAATATTAACTATTTTTTGTATACCTTCTAAAGTATTATGTTCTTTGTTTAACATAAGTAAAACAATTTCTTTAAATAATAAATAGTCTGAATGTTTTTTGGTTATTAAAGGATAGTTATCGAAATGAGGAAGAATTACATCCACTAGATCTTTTAAAGTACTAACTCTAAACTCTACGCTTGAAGTATTATTAAGTTTAGATACATAACCTATACCTCCGAAAAAATTTTGGATTGACTGGATTAAAACTCTATCCTTTTCATGCATTTTTATTTGAACTCTAGCTTGAACGTTCCATCCTGTTTTGTACCTAGAGTTTTTAAATTGTAACCACAAAATAACTTTCAGCATCGAAAAGCCCAGTAATAAATCAAGGATCCATTGAATAATTTCTAGATTGGTTAGTAGTATCGTTATTCTTAGCAATTTTAGAATAACATCTTGCTATTTTTTTAGAGCTAAACTTGTTTACGGGTTTAGAATAAGTTGTATGGCCCTTATTTTTTTCGACGTCATTTAAAATGACTAGAAAAAAATTAGGGATAGACAGGATAAAATTAGAGAAGAGTTTAATCTATAAAAAGCTACTAAAATACCTAGACCTATCGCAGATTCTGCTCCGGCTATGGCAATAATATAAATAGCATACGTTTGACCTAATATATCATCAAAGCTAAGTGAACTAACCAATACTAAAAATGTAATAGCTAATAGCATTATTTCAATAGAAATAAGCATTAATATAATGTTTTTTCTATTTAAAACAAAACCTAGTATTCCAATTGTAAATAAAATTAGTGATAAGTTCATAGTAAAAAAAAATAAAATGAATGTCTGTATCCTGAAGGTAATTTATTATATAATACCTTTATATTAAGGTACACCTTAATTTGCTGTTAAAAAAATAATGATTATACATCTGTATGGTATACATGCCTAATACATTACTATAAATTTATATAATATAGCTAATTAGCTATAGCAATTATGCAATACGGTACGTATAAGATGACCTGTTGCGTGTAAAAAGGATGCTCTTTATTAAGATCTTTTTGGAGCTCTTTTTTTTTATTGGGGCTTTACCAAGAATAGCGCGCTATTATTGGTCTTCTCCCCTATTGCTCTAGAAATATATCTACTGCAATTTTCCAGTAGATAATAAACTATCTACTGGGATTTGTTATACTATTTGTTTCTTTTTTTTTTAAGAAACTATTAGGCAACGTAATTATATAGCATAAAATGTTAACGGTAATATAACCGTTTTAGAATTATACCTCCTAAAGCAGAAGATTTTTCTAACTTTGAAATAAAAGCTAATCTTTCCGGGTCATTATAGAACTAGTAAAAGATGCCAATTTGCTACTAAACGCATAAGGTATAGATAGCTCCCCCTCCTTTACAGATGTTTGTCTACTTTCAATAGTTAAAGCGTTTTTACCTAACTCAAATATAAACCCTAAGGTTAATAATACGAAAAATACCATCATAACAACTAAACCGTAAATATCATTCGTATAACTACTAACACTGTAAGGGTAAACTAGTAAAATTTCCAAATCAAATAATAAAAACAACAAACCAAAAATAAAAAATGACACGCTAAATTGTGTTCTATTTTGCCCTAAAAACGAATGAAACCCACATTCAAAAACACTATCCTTTTCTTGATAAGGATTATGAGGGGCTAATAGCAAATTAACTGCTAATAATATAATAGCTAATATAGGTATAAATATAATAAAAAAAGTAGTACTTGTCATTTATAAATTAAATAAAACTAGTGCTAATATATTAGCTAAACTGAATATTTCCTTTGGAATAAAAATAAACAATGTAATAATTAATGTTATTACTGAAATAGGTAAACTTAATGAACTAGATATAACAACATTTTCTATCTTTATACCTACTTTTTCAACAATAGAATTTTCTTTTGCAACTACACCCTCTGCATCCAAAGTTTCTAGTTGGTCGTTTAAACTATAATCATTTTTATCAAAAAAGATTTGTTTTATTATAGTTAAATAATAAACGGCACTTATAACACTTGTTAGTATAGCTACTAACGACATAAATAGGTAACCGTTGTCAATAGCTGCGCTTAAAATCATCTGTTTACCGAAGAACCCTATTAAAGGAGGTATACCGGCAAAAGAAAATAAAGTTATCCCTAAGCTTAATGATACAAAGGGATTTATGTAATAATATCCCTTTAATTGATCTATAAGTTGGATAGGAGAGTTATTCATATCTTGTAAATTATCTTTTTCATCGCTAATTTCTTTCTTTTCTAAAAAGTTCGCATTATATACATAACAATATAAAGAATAACCAACGGTAATAATTAAAATAAAAGCATTTAGATTAGATATAGAATATTGTATTAAGTAAAACATAAAAGCTTGTGTAGATTCTACAGTGTGTATGCTTAACCCTAATAATATAAAACCTACATGTGATATAGTACTAAAGGCAAAAAGCCTTTTTATTCTAGACTGTGTTAACCCTACAACTGTTCCTATAATTAGAGATAAAAGCGAACTAAATAACAAGCTTTGTGTTCAAGAAAACTCCATATCCATCATAGACTTACCTGTATAATGAACTAATTCTAATAGGAAAATAAAAATAGAAATTTTTGCAATAATAGCTACAAAAGTTGTAACAACAGTAGGTATGGCATCGTACACGTCAGGACTTCAAAAATGAAAGGGTGCAGCGGAAACTTTAAATAAAAATCCTACTCCCATAAACAGTAAACTTATATGTATATAATAAGGTTTATATCAATAAAGTAACCCTGTAAGATTTTCGTATCTCTCGTTAGATATACTAGTAATTATATATAAGCTATCTAAATTCGTAGTACCAGAATTTGCGTAAAGTAAAGCTGTACTTAGTAATATAAAACAAGATGATAGTCCACCTAGTAAAAAGTACATAAGACCTCCAGAAGTAGCAGGTTCTGAATCTCTATAGATTGTTGATAATAAATATAGTCCATAACTTTGCAGTTCAATGGACAGGAAGATAGAAACTAGATCACTAGTAGATATTAAGAAAACACTTCCTGTAACGATAAATAAAATGATTAAAGAGTATTCAATAATTTTAAATTGTTCTCCCATTTTATTGGTTATTAACGTTCCGTAGTAGATTAACTTAGTAAAAAGAATTCTATTAGGTGTGCTATTCGGTTTGAATCAAACCTTTCTAGGATAAAATGAAGTTAGCAACAAGATAACGCTAGTCATTAAAAAAATAAAAATATGAAAAGTATTGGTAGTGGCAGTAACATGGAATAAACCTCCAAATATTCCTATTCCTTTGGCTAAAAATAAAATGGATAAGTTATCATAAGATATAAGAGCTGATATAAGTAAAATACTTATGGAGACTCTTGAATACAGTATCGATTTATCTCGTCTTGAAGTTATTGCATTAGATAAAAGTAATAATATCAATGAATTTAATAACATAATAAGAATAGAGAGACTTGAACTCCCACTAGTATTGGTTAATTTACTAGCAAATACCTGTTATTATTCTTAGAAAAAAGGAAAGAGATTACCATTTAACATTAAGATCCTCAGTAGTATATAGATACAAATAAGAATAGTCATACAACATCAACAAAGTGTCAGTAAAGTATTCCCGCTTCTAATCCTAGATGATGATTATTTGTTAAGTGGTATGCAAGTACACGTCATAAACCAACTGCTAAAAATGCTGTTCCTATCATAACATGTAATCCATGGAACCCTGTCCCAAAGTAAAAACATGATCCAAAGGCACCATCTGAGATAGTGAATGATGAAACTGAGTATTCAACACCTTGTAGCCCTGTGAAAATGGTTGCTAATATAACCGTGTACAATAAACCGTATAAAGTTTTACTTCTGTTACCGTTAATTAAAAAGTGATGTCCATATGTAACAGTAAACCCTGAAGAAAGTAAAATAACTGTATTTATCAGTGGTAGCTCAAATGGATCTATAGCTTCAATACCCATAGGTGGTCACATAGCACCTAATTCAACTGCAGGAGAAAGAGCACTATGGAAAAATGTTCAAAAAATGGCTAAGAAGAATAAAGCTTCAGATACTATAAATAAAGCTACACCTAAGTTCAACCCTCTTTGTACGGCGAGTGTGTGATGACCTATATATGTCAAAATTACCCAATATATTTCTATATCGGTTGGACTATATCATGATTAATGGGTTAAATATATTATACTTAACGTATTAATTATTTGCGTGTAGTCTCTGAGGATGCTACTAGGATATTTATCCGTCCTTTGGTTTCCTGCTGATTAAGCATAGCTTACAAGATTTTTACGATTAAGTACTTATAAACACTGAGCTATTCCAGCATATAGTTAAATTTAAAGAGGGCACATAATAAAGTAAATACTTTTTTTTTTCAATTTTCCTATGAAAGATCTAATTTTTAATATTCCTTCACCGGTAAGATGTTATTTTTTATCATCATAGTATGAACAATCTCATTCCTTAAAATCCTTTATTTTATCCCCTATTAACGGGTACTTATTAAAATAACTCACAAGAAAATTTATACTAAGGACGAAACACTTACCGATAACAATTCTGAGTTTGTATTATTAATATAACTTGTAAGATTACAAGATAAAAATAATGCTAAACTTTCCATAAAAGGTTTCATAGAAGAAGATGTGGATTTATCAAAAAAAAACGCTTATTCAATATAAATTTAAGAGTAACACTTTCACTAAAAGATCTTTTACGAATATCTGATTTAATATTTTTTTTTCTGTGTATTTAATGGCAAAAATGTCCATCAGATTCAGTAAAACCTGTAAATCAACTATTCTTTACCCTCTAAAATTTATCTTAAAAAAAACTTTCTGGTGTGTCCAAAGAATATTTAGTGTTCATAAATTGAATTAAATCATTAAACCTTATATTTTTCGGTGTTCTAAGTTTACTGTGCATTAAGTTCACAACAAGCATAATACCTTTGACATCCCCTATAATATAACGAGTAGCGTTATCACCTGAAGTTTGGAAACGTCCTATATTACCTAATTCTGATTGGATAAATACATACATAGCTAAGTTATTAATATGTGAAGTAAATACTATTCTAGGGTTAAATACTCTATTTAACGTTGTGACAGCTAAAAAAGGAAGAGAAATATGGCCCAGAAAATATAAGCATATCTATTATATTGTTTTTATCATAGAATATAACATATAAGGTTTTATAACGATTAATAAAGTGTTTAATGAAGAACGATAAATATAAATACTATGTTTATTTTTTCCTCTAATAAACCTGCTAAATAGTAAGCTAAATTATTCTTATTTTTAAACACTTCAGTATTATTATTCATTTTATAATAATTAAGGTATTTTTATATATTTTCAACAGAAATAGATCTAGCAATATAAAAAAAAACTATACAATATTTTACTTTTTAGGTTAAGTATACCCTCTGCTATAACATCTCTTCATCAGAATGACATAGATAATATTAAAACTGTTAAACTTAACATTAAATTATATTCTGCATAAGCAAACCCGTGGAAAGATAAAACTGCGGATGTAGTAAGGCTTAATAAACTAATGGATGTATATAAAGGCCATGGAGAAGGAGAAACTAGATGAAAAGGATGTGCCTGAAAATTACTTCTATATAAATTTAGCATAACATAATATAATAAGTTCTTAACACGTCTTTTTTTTTAATGCACATCTCAAAAATACATCCTGTCTTCTCGTACTTACTGTAAAAATCTTTTTTTTTTTATCTTTCCTATACAAATATTATAGACCCCTCTACTGGGTGATTTATTATGTTTACAAAGTTACTAAAAAATTTAATAAATAGGGCGAAACCTAGTAACGCTATCAGAAATACGTACATTCTTTAGGTTAAATTTTCGGCTCATTTGGTTTTTCGAGAGTTCTCTAAAAAAAAATACAATTATGTAAGAGTGCATTTACTATTCGTTTTCTAAAGGAGTTTCTTTGTACCCTATGACTCGGAGAAACGCTACCACGTATTGTAAAACTCCCTAACCCGATTCCCCTATTCAATAAAAATCTGAACCTAAGTATTTAAACGGAAGGGTTATGACTAAAGTGGTTAGTTTAATATATAAGTACTCATTTGCGTAGTTGCAGTACCCGTATAGCTAAACCCGTTAGGTACAAATTCCAAATACAGGATATTTAATGAAAAAGGTAGAAAATAAATATAGTGTTATATAATTCTATAGTAATGTATAATGTAGGATATAAGATATATGATTGCACAAGTTTATAGTAATGTATGAATTATAATGTGTTAATTCTATACTTTATATGAGAAAACCAAATAATATCGGTTATAAATTTTTATTATATAAATTACATTTTAAAGTAATAATAAAAATTATATATAATTTAATAGTAATGTTATGTGTATACTCTTAAACAAAAACTTACATAAATTGTTGATAATGTACAGAACCTTTTTAAAGTAAAACTTCTATATAATTTAATAGTAATGTTATGTGTATACTCTTAAACAAAAACTTACATAAATTGTTGATAATGTACAGAACCCTTTTATCATTTACATTTTTTTCTAGACACATAGATTTAAATAAACTATTTTACAGTTATAGAAAAAAAAAAGGAGTATAATATTATCTACATAGAAGATTCTTATTAGTTTAATGGTAGAACAAGATACTTCTAATATCTGAATCTAAGTTCAAGTCTTAGATAAGAATCAACCTTTTATAAAGATAGCTATATTTGTCTTAAAAACCCTATTAGTTTAATGGTAGAACAAGATTTTCCTAATTTCTTAATCTGAGTTCGAGTCTTGGATAGGGAAAAAAAGTTATATACCAGAGACTTACGTAGCTAGGGATTAACGGATAAAATATAGAATAAAGTGAAAAGGGAATAAACAATAAGTAGTTATTTTTAATGTTGGATTATTTGAGTTTGATGATGGCTCTGAGTGAACGCTATGTAAATGCTTGACACATGCTAATCGAACGTCAATATTTAATCTACAGGGATTATGTATATTGAAGTGGTGTACAGGTGAGTAAGGGGTATTATCGCTACCTAGGAGTAAGGCAAAATAAATCCCTTATAAGAACAAGTTATTATTCATTTATGAATAGTAATTGTTTTAAAGAAAAAGTTTTTCGCTTCTAGTTGATTATTAATAACCACCGGATAAGTAGTAAGTATGGTAATGGCATATTTAGCTTATGTCCGTAGTCAAGACTGAGAGGTCTATTGACCACACTGGGTCTGAAAAAACCCCAGTGCGTATAGTACAGCAGTGAGGAATTTTGGTCAATGGCCTAACGGCTGAACCAGCAACTTGCAGGAATGAGAGGTAATATAATAAGTTTATTAACTTGCTTGACTAGGTCTTATAAAGTTCTGGATAAAGCTTATTATGAAAACTTTATATCCATAGGTCTCGACCAAATCTTGTGCCAGCAGTCGCGGTAAGACAAGGGAGACAAGTGTTATTCATCTTTAACAGGTATATAGGGTACCTAGACGGTGTAAAATGGCTTAGATAAGTACCTATTACACTTGAGTTTGATATGGGAGAGGAATATGTCGGAATTGTTGGTGGAAAGATGAAATTTGTTAATACCAATAGGACCGGTGACGGCGAAGGCAAACCTCTATGTACATATACTTGCGATTTTAGAGGAGAATGCATTCGAAAAGAACATTCTAAACTAGAATTACTCTTTTTTCTTGATAAAAGATAGAACTGAACCGGAAAGTGTTAAAGCTTTAAGGCATAAAGAGGAAAGGCAAGCTATTATAACTGACGTTGAGGGACGAAGGCTCAGAGAGTGAAAAGGATTAGATACCCTTGTAGCCTGGGCAGACAATGATGAGTGCCATAGGTTGGCTTTACGCGGAACTATAAATGAAAGTGGAAGCACTCCACCTCAAGAGTAATGTGGCAACGCAGGAACTGAAATCATTAGACCGTTTCTGAAACCAGTAGTGAAGTATGTTATTTAATTCGATGATCCTCGAATAACCTTACCACAATTTGAATGACCTAAAAATATTTTTTTTTAGACCACATGCGTTGCATGGCTGTCTTCAGTTAATGTCGTGAGATTTGGTTAGGTCCATTAAATTAACGTAAACCCTTGCTTTATTTATTACTATAAAGCAGCTCTCCGCTTACAATTGGATTGATAATAGGGACTAAGACAAGTCATCATGGCCTTAATATTGTGGGCTATAGACGTGCCACATGTGCCTTTACAAAGGGATGCAATAATGCGAATTGGAGCTAATCCCCAAAATAGGAGAAAGTATGGATTGTAGTCTGAAATTCGACTGCATGAAAAAGGAATTACTAGTAATCGTGAGTAATCACATCACGGTGAATTTTATCTCAGATAGGTACTAACCACTCGTCAGGCGCTGAAAGGAGTATGTGCAATAAGTTTGGTGGCTGCGAATTGTTACTCTAAATTGACAGGTTTAGAGCTTTTGGCAGAAAGATCTTCGTATGCGTGACTCTAATTGGTGTTAAGTCGAAATACGGTTCGGGTTGGGGAACTAGCCCGGGATTAATTAATAATAACGATACACCCAAAAAAAAAGGTTGTGCAAGGAGCATAAATAGTTATCTATTTAGACGGTTCGAATCCGTAAACAGGCTCATAAGAAGTTTATAGGATGAGAGATTCGTTATTTAGCTTATAAATGCTAGGTTAAATAATACTTTTCTTATGTTATTTATTTTTTTTATAGAGGGAGGTTTTATTAACTTTAGTATAATCCGAGTGCTGGAATTGGTAGACAGGACAAATTTAAGCTTTGTTGACAGGATGTCGTGAACGTTCAAGTCGTTCTTCGGATAGAGGGAAAGAACTGAGAAGAGTGCACATTATTATTATGAATAAACATATTTTTCTATTTATAACATTAGTATGATAAAGGAGGCTAAATTTGCTACGGAAAACCTTTATATTAGTATTACATAGTACCCACCTAGGCTAGGGGACATGTACGACCCTCAGGGAAGTTTTGTTAGTTGTATTATACCTTAGATAAATAATATTTTACACATAATGTATTATAAAATATAGGTTGTTGTAATTTAGATTATTTTATAGTGTATTTATATAAATTGGGGCTTTACAGGGCAATAAAAGTCATTGCACTAAAAAAAAAAAGGAGAGTTCCTTTATTGGTAAGAAGGGTTGAGCTGTAAACTCAATAGCAATACGCTTTTAAGAGTTCGAATCTCTTGTCTCCTAGAGTGTTGTTATACATTTGTATTTATTAGGTTTGATTTCTATATTTTTGTCTTATTATGCTTTATTGTTATATATTGAACCTTTAGAATTAGGTTCCATTAAATAGCCTTTATAGCTCAATGGTAGAGCGGAATACTGTTAATATTCTGATAAATGTTCGATTCATTTTAAAGGCTTGCATTCATTGGGCAAGGCTGTGAATACCTACCATTCTTGAAAAATTTTATTTGATTATAGACTTTGTGATTTAGTCATTTTGTTTTATAAAAATTTAATTAGTAGTCTATTTCAAAATTAGTGGGTTTATTTCAAACGATTTTGCAAAGAATTTTAGTAGATTATATCTACTAGAATAAAAATATTCTAAATGGTTATTGTAATATATCTTAGCTATATCATTACTGTATAATGATAAAAGTATATGCTTATTCATACAATAGCTTTGTAATAATCGTTATGAAAAGGTAAATAATCATTTTAAATGTTATATCTGGTTAATGAAATGACCTTTAATGGTTATAATGCATATAGTCTAGATCTTTTATACCTTATTGCTATCTTATTAGGTATATTAGTTATTATAAGTAAGAACCCCATAGTATCTGTTTTATTTTTAATAGGTTTATTTTTATGTATATCTGTTTATTTAATTTTAACAGGATTAAATTTTATAGGACTATCTTATTTACTAGTATATATAGGGGCAGTCTCTATACTATTTTTATTTATTTTGATGTTAATTAATGTTAGAATTTCTGAACTGTTAATAGACAGCATTAATAGTATACCTTTAGCTATTTTAGTAGGTAGTTTTTTTAATTATTTTGTTAATAATGTTTTACCATACATGGTAATGACTAATAATTTACTTTACCACTTTAGCATAAAAAAAAATTTAACGAATGTAACATCTGTCTCATGAGATGGATATTTAGCAGAAACTTCTCATATAACAAGTATAGGAAATATATTATATGGTCATTATTCAATATGATTAATAATTACATCCATTATATTATTATTAGCGATGGTAGGTGCTATAGTTATAACTCTAAAACCACAAACTCATGTTAAATAATAAAAAAAAATAATTAGACGTCTTTCCCTAATAGTTTTGGATTTTATATAAAAAAAAAGAAATTAGCTCAATTGGTAGAGCATCCGTTTTACACGCGGCAGGTTAAGTGTTCGAATCACTTATTTCTTATTACTTATGAATAATAAGTAAATAAATTTATGGAGATCTTAGCTTAACGGTAAAGCGTGTGACTTTTAATCACTCTCATAAGGGTTCAAATCCCTTAGATCTTATCCTTTTATCGTATAAAAAAAAAGATGTAGTTTATAGAACGGTTAGTTTCCCCCCCCCCCTATTTATGAAATTATCATACCATTTTTTATGAATAAACTAGACTAGCAAAAATAAACACTATTTAGATTTTTGTCGGATTATTTGAGTTTGATGATGGCATAATTAGCTTATGCCCGTAGTCAAGACTGAGAGGTCTATTGACCACACTGGGTCTGAAAAAACTCCAGTGCGTATAGTACAGCAGTGAGGAATTTTGGTCAATGGCCTAACGGCTGAACCAGCCACTTGCAGGATTTGCAAAAAAAAAGCAGCCATAGGATAATTGGTTAGTCCATTCGTCTTCCAAACGATTTGTACCGATTCGAGTTCGGTTGGCTGTATAGGGTCAGTAACTTAATGGTAGAGGACTTTCTTGTCACGAAAGTAGATATCGGTTCAAGCCCGGTCTGACTCGCACCTTTTAAATTTATAGATCATTTTTTTTTTAATTTTATAATTCCTTTTTTAATTCTATATTTAACTTTTGAAGATTGTAATGATTTTTTTTTTAATTCATTAGTTAACATTCATGGTGAATTTAACTTTAATTCAATGGTTAGCGCCCACTATAAATTTAACTTTAATTCCGTAGTTAGCATCCATTACAAATTTAACTTTAATTACATAGTAAACTTCAATTCTATAGTTAAAATTATTACAATTGAAAATTATGTGATTACAAGTAAAAAGGAAAAGTTGCTATAGGTAAGGCGAGATATTTGCTAAATATTGTGTTTAACACCTGGTGGTTCAAATCCACTCTTTTCCGAATATAGAAAAAATGGTTTAACATATTTAAATCGATAGTATTTTTTTTTTACACATTTAAACCGATACTTTAAGTTGTCTATATTTACAATAACTTTAAATTTAGTATATCTATATTATAGATTCATAAATGAAAAATCTTTAGTAGCTACTAATAAAAACAAGGAATAGTCTAGTTTATCTCCCTAATTTTTTTCTAGTAATTTCGAATATTCGAAATTACGTCGAAAAAAAAGAACCGCGAGCTTTCGGGGAGGAAAAAGGACGCTATTAAATTTAGCAGAATTTAATTTTAAAGGTAATTTTATTAAAGAGTATTGTTCAATTTTAAAGTGTTATTTAATTAAAAAAAACCTGTAGTTAAATTTTAGATAAGGTGTTATTGAGTTTAAAAAGAGTATTCTTTAATTTTTAAATAAATTGTTATTAAAAAGAGTATAGTTTAATTGGTAAAATAGGAAGCTTCAAACTTCAAATTTCCAGTTCAAGTCTGGATGCTCTTGTTACAATATTATATAGAGATATATAATTTGGAATACTTTTAATCTTTTATTCTTCATTCTTTGCCTAATATTTTAATAGATTTAAATTTTCAAAATCTTATATGTGTAACAAAGGTTCCTTAGCTTAATTGGTAAAGCGCATTTTTGATAAGGATGTGATCGACGTTCAATTCGTTGAGGAATCAATAAGGTGCGTTAGTTAAATTGGTATAATGACATGCTACGGACATGTTCTTACAAGTTCGAGTCTTGTACGCACTTGTATTTTAAGTATAAATAAGTAGGTATAATGTATTATATAGATACATTGGGAACAAGTGTTTTCCTAACTTTTTTTTGTTAGTTATTTATCTTATAGATAATAAAAAAAATAAGAAAAAGCATAATGGTTTGAATTACTTAGGTATTTTAATCCATTTTTAAAAATAAATTATTTACTTAACGACAAATTTATATTATGGTAAATCTATTTTATTATAGACATATCTTGCAACTTTCTCTATTCCTGCAGCCTTGCGGTTATTTTTTTTTTCGACGTAATTTCGAATATTCGAAATTACTAGAAAAAATTAGGGAGATAAACAGATCTTACTATAATTTTCTCTTATGCTAAACTTATCCTCCTATTATAAACTTATCCTCCTATGATAAACTTATCCTCCTATGATAAACTTATCCTCTTAATATAAACTTATTTTCATGGTAGATTTATTTTATGATAAAATACTTTAAAATTTATTTATTAAAAAAAAAAAATACAAATTAAAAAGAGAATTGACTGAGTGGTTTAAAGTGATAAGCTTGAAACTTATTTGATTGAAAAATCACATCCGTTCGAATCGGATATTCTCTGTTGTATTATATAAAAAGATAATCTGTTATCCAATATAAGTATCTTATTTTGTGTTTATACAAATTTTGTAATTATATCTTTTTATTCAATGTACATTGAATACAATAAGCGGGTTAGAGCCAGGTTGGTTAGGCGCCTCATTTGGGTTGAGGAGTAGTTATGTTCGAATCATAATAACCCGAAATATGG